TTTCTGCAGTTCTTCATAAAATGCTGGGAGAGTCCTCAGTACTCCAAGCCCAGTAAGATCCTGCTACCTACAAATAAGTCAACACTGGGCAACACTGAAAAACAGACCACAGCATAACTACAAGCAACCTAAATACAAGCATTAGGAAGTCAGGGGTATATTTTCAACACCCTCCGTACTCATTTACTATGTTGGAGAGAAAAACAGGGGGAACAACAAGAGGCTGATAAAGCCGGGTGTAAAGTGACTGGGAAAGGCTACAAATTTGCCCTAACACCTCATATTTAGAATTAAATCACTAAAACAACTCCAAGCAGTCAAAATTTTTATTCTGCAATTTCCTGGAGCATTAGCACACACATGTAGACAGAAGTCTTTCATTTCAGGCATTGTCTTTTATCTAGTTATGACTTCCTTTCCAGAGAACTTCCAGTAATGTTTCTGGAAATCTTTAACTCCTCTTTGGAGCCAGAGAAATTCCTGTTCAGAGACAAGGCTACTCGGTTCAGTGAGGGAGCTGGAATACTTTTTATGTTAATACACAAAACTTGTAAAACATTTGTATTTTCCTGGAGCATAACACCACTTAAAAGGTCTTTGCCAAGATAAAATCACATTTTTTACCTTTATGTCTCTTATTTAAACCAGACTCTGAAGACACTTCTCCTTATACTCAGCTCTAAGACACTAAAAACAGTGCACCGTAGCTTCAAAATGAGATTGTCAGTATTTTTCTTCCCAGACAGAGCTCTTAGATTCCAAAATTAAATTCTACTACCTTGTGGTACTTGCTGCAAGTGACTGAAGATCAATTATAAATGCACTCTTCTAATTTTCAGACACAATGTCCTATAAATAGAAGAGTACTAAGAAAAATACTCTGTAAATAGGAACTTTCCCTTCGTTTGTAGGTAGAGATTTTTTTTCTGTAAAGAATCCTCCAGCCAGCTAATTACAATGCTATTCAGCAAACCATTATCTCCAGGAGATTGCTTATTTCAACAGAACCTCGGTTCTATTACTGTCAAGTATGCCTGATTAAATGTTCCAGTGTCTAAAACAAGTCACACTTATTATGTGAGCAGATATTCAGAGCTCCTTCAGTATTTCAGCATTTTGATCTCAGATCTTGGAAGGGATGGACCAAGATAAGCAATAAAATCAAACAGCTTCGATAATGATGCACTTATTAAACAAGAATAATCAACACATGAGTTAAGCTATGTGCTCTGTTACTTAAACCAACATACAGTGGTATCAGCAAAATCTTTGCACATTAATGCTTGTTTTATGACCACAGATGTGAATGCTTCTGATTTATTCTTATATTTCAACTTTAGATTCAAAGCTCATATTCTGCACAGCTTAATGTACCAATGACTTTTTTCCAAAAGGTGTTACTATAAACTACACCCTAAATTAAAAATCTGAAAATCTTGTTTCTACCTGAAGTGTAAAAAGCCAAAAGCCTTCTTTCAGAACACCTTCATAGAGAAACAAAATATACGCACTTGTAAGACAATCCTAGCTCTGCCCATCCCACCCACTCCTACCACTCACAGTCCTTATCTCCTACAACTTTTAATTCCTCAGCCACTTGGACCTAAATTTGTTAAAATGTACTACTAAGAAATTTTAAATTTTTAAAGGATTGTTAAAATTAAGACACCAAAACCACCAACAATTCCATTAACCCTTTGTCATAAAACAACTTTAATGCGAGCTCAATCTTATCAGACAGCACAGGCATATCCAGAAAACATAATCCCAACAACGGGAGAAAGAAAACTGCTTTATGTTCCAGTAATCCCCCAAAAATTCTTTGTAGGTGAACCTCTCAAGCCTTGCCGTTCACTATAGCTAGATGTTATAGCTCCTTGAAACCTAGAACCGAGCCATTTTGTTAGACATGCCACGTCCAATTGCAAGGTCCTTGCTCTAAGGAATTCCGAATCCAGAACTGACAAAGCACCTGGTTCAGCTCCAGGTCTGAACTCCATCACCTCTGCAGGTTGATTTCGCATAACTGTTGTCAGCCACAGGAACGCGTTATTATTATTTCACGTCCCATGAGAACAGCTCTGCGACCGCCTTCAGACCCGTCAGGAGCCGGGAGCTGAGAACGCCCGGGAGCGCTCAGCAAGGGAACACCAGCGCTGAGCTCGCAGCCTCTCGGCACGAAACAGCCCTTGCGCTCATCTGCTCGATAAACCGGGCACACCACAGCCCCTCTCGGGACAGCCCTTCCCAACGCTTCGGGAGCAAGCCTGCGGGCTGGGCTGCGGGGGCAGCGCAACCCGCCTACTCCGCCGTCCATTATGCAACGAAGGCACCGCCCCTTCCCAGCGGGACGGGCCGGGAGCCGCCCCGCGGGCACGTGACCGGGAGCGCCGCCGCCGCCATGTTGGACGGGGGCGGGAAGGGAAGCGGCGTCGACCATCCGTCCTCGCATTCCTGTCCGGGGAGGGGGCTGAGGAGAGGACCCTCCTCCCCCCACTGGCACCGCGAGGCAGCGGGACTGTGCCCTCCACGATCCACCCGTCCTCCCCGCAAACAAAGAGCGGGGTCGCCCCCTTCCCCCCGCCGTTCTCCGGCCCGTGACGGTGTTCGGTGGGTTGCGGCGCCGTTTCCGCCCTCCCCACTCCTGTCCTGCCCTCGCCGTGCCCGGCAGTCCCCGTGGAGACAGTCCAAGCCCGCCTTCCACCGCGACAGGACCCGCCTGCCCCGGCCCTTCCCGTGCGGCCGCCGGCTGGCCCGGGGAGCACCGCGACCACGTCGCGGGCTCCCGGGAAGCAGCGCTGCTTGGGCTGCCCGGCACAGAGCGGGTTATTCCCAGACCGGGAGCTCAGCCGAATAAATATGCAGAGAGGTCTTTCTGAACCCTTCAGGTTCACAAACGCAGAGCCCTGAAGGCACTCAAATTTCAGAGATACGAGGAGGATAAAAGGCCTGTGGACATCCGACAGAATTTTAAATCAAGTCCAATTCAACACTACAGTAGCATTTTGCCAGGGGAGTCTTTAAAACCCTGCTACCGACTCCATTTCCTCCAGTGTCCTATCTGTAAGGGTCCCACCATTCCCGTGGATGTGAACTAAAAATACTCAGCAGAAACCCCCTGATCCTTCTGTTCCCTGCCAGTCGTTACTCCCCAGAGAGACTCTGCTGTATTTACAATTAGCCATTAAGAAAGGGGAGGGGGGGGAGGTGACGGAAGCCTATAAGAAGAGATGCCATTTCACTCCTGTGTAGACTAGAGTATGTGATGTGCATGTTCAGCCAAGCTGACTCGCGTCTCTTAAGCGTTCCCTGAGCAAACCACAACCTGGAAGGCTGCTTTTACACCGAAGCCAGAATGCTGCACAAAACTGACTTCAATTCCAGTAGTTGTCGGGTGCCTGATCTCCTAACTGCATTTGGTGGGACATGCTGAGGAGCTACAACTGCTGTGCCAGTTTCAGGCAGGAAGTATGTTTCCGGTTAATTGCACTTTAAACCCAGAAAGAACAGTGTCCAGTTTAACCACTTCCTGAAGTTCGATCTTCGCCCCGGAAAGATGGACTTTCAGGATTAATTTTGGGATAGAGCTAGACTCGATGCAGGCCAGTGAGCCAAAATAAACACTTTTTGGACTGATGCTATGATTTCAGTACTGTAACATCTACCCATTAGTTTAAGACCTGCCAAATGTGCTTTGACCTTTAAATGATACAAGCATTTACTTAATATGCCTGAAGGCTTAGAAATTCATCCCTGTCTCCTCTGAGTACCCCTCAAGAGCACATCCCATCTTCAGCAAACAGAAGAAGGAGCCATGCCTTTTATATGGCAGGCAATGTAAACCAGTTTTCTACAAGTGGCTGAAATGGATTGCACTACAAGCAAACTTAGAAAAAAAAAATGCAAAAATCCCAACCCTTACTGCTTTGAACCCTTTCCTGTCAAGTACCTTATAAAAACCTGATGTGTTCAGTGGAACAGTGCTATAAACACCTGTCTTCCAGCCCTTTTTTCCCCTTTGCTTGAGAGGCCATCTATAGACCAAAAACTGCAGAGCTCCAAGAAGATGGTTTGGCTGCATAAATACGGGGCAGATTTTAAAGACAACACTTGTCAAGAGGGCAGCAGTGGATGCCACGGGGGGAAAACCTCCACTTAAACAGAGCTACTGCACAAGAGAATGCTTCAGTGTCACTCACTACAACTCCTTATTCTTGATGACAGCCACCTCCTAGCAACAAGTGGCACATCTGCTTTCAAGATGTGCTTTGCTGTTTCCTGACAACCACCAAAAAAAATCAGTTTTCCTCTGAACAGAAGCTCCAGTTGTGACATTTTAATTTGTTGCTTTAGTAGAATCATTACCACCCCATCCCAAATGTCATCAGCCACCTCACTGAGCATGGCTTTTCAGAAAACGAGCCTCAGAGCTGGTGACCCGACTGCTGCCCTGATGCTTGCCAAGTTTGGGCCTGTGTCTCATTTTGAGAGGGGGCAGGGGAGCAGGTTCCATATAAAAATTATTTCAACGTGTTCTATTGGTTTTAAGCCCCTAGAGAACAACTCTCGTAGGCAATCTGGTCTCAGTCTAGCATTATTATTTCTATTTTTACAAGTTTAGTCAAGCTGTTGCTGGTACTCATGCAAACAGTGGCCTACTGCACGTGAGGCAGCCAGTTCAGGACTGTGCACGATGCACTCCAGCACGGCAGGGTTCCAGAAAAAGAGCAGTGCTTCCGAAAGCACAGCAGGCTAGAAAAATCGGCCCTCCCTCCCTAACAAGAAATTCGTAGTAGACGCTCCGCAGCAGGTTGTGAGGGCGGCCGGGGCAGACACTGCTGGGTGGGGGAGGACGGGAGGGGCCACGTCCCACTGTGGGGGCTTCGGGGAAAAGCAAGCGGCCGCCTCCAGCTCCTAGGAAAACGGGAGGAAGCGATGTAAGAAGAAGGAAACCGCCCGCTGAGATGGCGCAGCAGGAAGGGAGCAGGACGCGGCGTTACCTGGGCTGGGTGGCGGCCGAACCCCTCCTCCTCCTCCTGGTCCCTGCACAGGGCCGTCCGCAGCCGCTCCAGGTGCTCCCGCAGGGTGACCCGCTGGTGGAAGGAGAAGGCCGGATGCAGCGAGGCCATGGTGAAGAGCAGGAGCAGCTCCTCCTGCGCGCCGCAGCCCAGGCCCTGGGCGGCGGGCAGCCCGGCCTGCCCGTTCTCCGCCGCTCCGTCCATCACCACCACCACGTCCCCCTCCTCCTCCTCCTCCTCTTCCTCGTCCTCCTCGGCCGGGGCCCGCCGCGCCGCCGGGCAGCTCTGCAGGATGGAGTCCACCTGGGGCAGGAGGCGGTGCAGGCGGCCGGCGGCCTCGCGGTTCTCGGAGCCCAGCAGGGCCAGGTACACGATGAGCTTGGAGCGCACGGCGGGGTCGCGGAAGTCTCCGAGCTGCCCGGGGTCGCTGAGCCCGTTGGCCTTGGCCTCCGAGTCGCGGAGGCAGTGGTAGTCCTTGCGGGCCAGGTCCTCCAGGCAGGAGCCCAGGAACCGCAGCTCCAGCGGGTTGCACAGGTCCAGCAGCCCCACCATGAACTCAAGGCGCTGCGCCGAGCCCAGTACCAGCCCGAACCACTCGTACACCGTCTCCTTGTCGGTGCGGGCGGCCGCCGAGCCGGGACCGCCGCCGCCGCCCGGAGCGCCG